CATTCGTCGCTTCAGTCACGAGGACGTTTCAAGAAACGGGATTGCCACAAGAGGTCTCTCCTACATTATGCTGCCATGGGGAACTGCACAAATCTCCTTCTATATCTCCTACAGAGTAAGCCAGATGTGGATTCCCGTGACCAGTGGGGGCGGACACCACTCTCCTGGGCTGCTGAGTACGGGTCATTGGCTGTTGCAAAAATCCTACTCGCGCAAGGAGCAAACATCAATGCATTGGATTATGAGAGTGGTACGCCCTTGACATGGCTGTTACATGCCGCAAACCCTAGAATAACAAGCTTAGCGGCCACTGAAGCTTACCTAAGAGAGATGGGCGCGAAGGAAGTCAAATTGAGAGGTATCAAGGGGGCCTGGATTTGGGTTTTGACTTATACATGCCTACTCCGATACGTTCGCCCTCGTATCTAAGGCTCCCGATGTCATGGAGCTGATCTTGTACAAGAATAGTTCGCACATCAGATGATGGTCATACTGAGGGCAGCTACTATGCACTGCGGTGAGAGATTAGGCCAACTGCTTTCACACAGATACTCTTGTATTCTTTCTTTGCTGTGCAATTTGTTTTGTTGACATAAGAATGAGAAGCGAACAAGTGAAGCTTGATGGAATAAATATCGTAAGACCTTTAGTTAGGAGGTACATTCGTCTTGCCTGGCCATACAATATCGTAGGTAAGGTATTTGCACGTCTTTCTATTTCAATCCGTAATTAGACTGGTGCATTCGACCTCAAACTGATTGCAAAACTTTATTTTTCTTTCTATTGACCAGGGCTTTGAACGTATCAACTAGTACTAGGTCTTGCAAATTCTGTTGAATAGGGCAAAGACCATGTGCGATGCTTGGATGCAGGATAAGGCTACAATTGGAAGCTTAATCCTCATCATGGATGACATACTGTAAGGTCCTGAGACTGGCTCCTTGTACTAGAATTTTGCCGCAGTTTTCAAGAGTTAAGGTATCATGCAGCTTTCATTGGGAGCAGCAAAGATGATAAAAGACGTCTTGTAGAAGTAAACAATTTCGCTCGACTCTCAGTAGAAACCTTTCTGGCCACCAAGACTAGACATTCTCCCATAAGAAATCGCGGAAAGTAATCACACATAATACGTAGACCTTACTGTGCACTACAATATGCGGTATACACACATGGTTTGCATGGAAGATATTTCCTACTCATATTTGATCGATGCCATGAAGGCGCTTGAAATACAAGTTCACTCGTGAAACTCGTGTCTTTCGGCAATACAAAAAAAGGGGAAACAGAAGAACTATTAATGCGCGCAAAATGCATGATATGATGAATGATTTGGATGCAAATCCGAATAATGCCCTTATTCATATTATCTCCACTAAATCCGCAATATCGTCACCAATAATCAAGACTTGGAATCCTTTCTTGATGAGCCGCCCGAAGTAGACCATAAAAGGGTCCTGCTCCCTAAGCGGATTCAAATATCTGCTGGCGAGGAGGAATTGTTCTGTGGCTCCAAGAGGATGCGCTATCAAACCGATTTTCCTGGCGGTCAGTCCACTCAACGAGGTGTCGGCCAGCTTGTAAGACTCGCTTTTCGTCATAATCCACTCAATGATAGAGACGTTGCGATGTGCTAGAGGTATCGCAAATCTATGCACCCATGCATTTGGCTTCATGTCTGGATGTGGTGGGGCAATCGTGGCCGGGCTAGCAGAGAGTATGCGGTGTAGCAGTTTTGAGGGATGTTTGACATGCGCCAAGCCGATATGAACATCAGTTCTTTCACTTGATAGATGGTATGCAAGGAATTGTGTTAGGATATAAAAAGGCGCGTACGTGCTTCTTATATTTCGGGGTCTAGCCCGCAGTCGCGTAGTTGCCTTGACCAATACACGCTTTGCATTGGATGCGACACGCGGAATAAATGAGCCGCGCTAAGGTCTTGGCGGCGAGGTTAGCACACAATGGGCAAGCGTGTATTGGTCAAGGCAACTATGAGACTGCCTGCTAGGGTACAGCCTATTGGCCAGGATGTACCTCTCGCGCAGCCCTGCCAAGGCTTCCACCGCCTCTATGTGTTGGCGAGGCATGCTCGCGATCCAGTTCTGGAGCCACGACTGCTGCTCGCCACGACTGCTGCTCCCATCTACGACATAACTGGCGATGGAGTCGTGTGAACTGATCCTGGGAGCTGTCGCGCTCCTTGTGAGGGCTCTTGGCCATGTTTGTTCTCAATATTTGGTCCTGAGGAATGTAGGCAAGGCGTCGTGTGGGCCACACGGCGCCTTGCACGGTGTGGGCGCGCTCCCAAACCGTGAGCTCAACCGTGACAATAGCCCTTTGAGATCCGTATTCTGTTTGTGTCTCTTTCACCCGAATTCAAGGAAAGATCGACTCCAAGGATAAATGGATACGGAGTGCTCGTAAAGGGGCAGGCTGAGAAGAGGTGGGGGGAAATTCCCAATTGGCAAACTACTCCGTAACTAGAAACGAAGCCAATTGTGCGACAATCCAAACCCAGTAAAATGGAATTCACCCATTGCAGTAGAAAGCCCTTCATTTTGGTTATAGCTTATCCCTAATAGCGAAAGTCAAACAGGGGTTAACGCCTCTAGCGGCTCCCAGAATAGGAATGGTTCAGCTTTTATACCCTCCTAGCCTTAGCAGCCAGATCAAGGGTAGCGACCTTTTCCCCATCATGGATCTATCCTTGAGTTCACAACACTTCCTCCACTCTCCCACTATTTGGACGTTCGAACCATTGCCATCCATGCCTAAGAAATGGACGCGAACGGCGATCTTTCGGTTCCAACTTACGCCGATCAATACTATCGGGGGTTCCAAGCACTCTGCCTTAACGATAGAGAAGTGCTCTACAACCACTTTCTGGCGACTGCGAAACTGAGATTGGAAAGCAAACCATATTGGTGGCCAACCGCCGTTGATTGGGATTTTATTAATGACGGGATTTTGGCCACTGTGAAATCGAGGCTGGAAGAGGAACCTAAGTGGTGGCCCACTACTGTTGAATGGGGCTTCAAAGATGCCCCTGGTATGGAAGAATCCGGTCAGTCGTACCCCATGCACTCTTTTAGCACTAATGCTAATATATGTCCAGAGAAATCCACCGTCCTAGCATGCGTTATGAAAAACTACGACCACCAGGACCTTGCGAGAATACTCGACAAAATTAGCGGAGAGCTTTATACAACAAACTGTCTCACAATAGTCGACCGATTATTCGCAATTGGGAACCCTCAATCTAACAAATCCCAAGAGATCCTGAGTACGGTCCAGAACTGAGAAATCGTTACCAGCTTGCTGATGACTCCTTGCCAGGGCCCCAAAACCGACCAATCGACCCAAAGACTGCCCTGCGAGAGTCCCTGCCGATCAGAATATTCGCACTGCGGAGTCAGCAATCCACGAGTGATAGCACGTTTCGTACCGGTCGTCCGGGATATGTTGGCTTCCGGAAGAATACCGTAGCAAGAACTTACGCCACGCCCGTCGATGTTAGTAGCAAGGTTGCACTCGTAAACCCACTTTACGCGCGGGTGCTAGACGTTGAATACCTCTGCAGGGAGTTGCACACGACCCAACCTCAACTTGCAAATCTTAAGCGCGGTTTCTCCATCGACATAGCTTCATACTCTCGGCAAGGTGATCCGTTGTACGTTTTTCCTTGACCCAAGTGATAGTAAAGAAAACATGTGATACTAAAAATGGGCTAGGACAAGCAGGCGGTCACTCAAAGCAAACTATGCGAATTCCGAACTGATATTGGCAGATTCTCAAGGTAATAAGATATCTCTTGAGCCTGCCATTGGTATTTGCATTACCCGGGCTCCCGTGATCGGTGAGCTGTTTGTCGTCGAGCTCGAAGACCGTCGGAAAACTCAAGAAGTGTCATATTATATGTATGGTCAATCCCTAGGATGAGGATAAAACGCACAAACTAACCAGCAACATCAAAGGGCGTATTCAATCACCATGGCCCAATCTTCCGAACATAGGAGTTCCCTTATTTGCTTTTCGTCGGATTGGGACAAGGTCTCGAATACTATCATATCGATGGAAGTCTTCAAGAGAAGCGCCCAAATCGGAAAGTAAAGCATAGCTACAGTACAAGCTATTACTATTCTCCCAACTGAAACGATAGAACGAAATGCAGGATCGAATCACAACCTATGCATCAGCATAAATCTATCAGAACACCCATTCAATTTAACTCAATTGCATCGCTGTCCACCTCTCCGTCTAATTTGCCCTCAATACATATAATACTTAAAAAGGAAATAAAACCAGACATTGAAAAACGTAACTAATAGAAAGCCAAAAATCCATGTATCTGCAAAGTAATGAAGGGTATGCTTGGTACATCCCGAGAGTGATGCCACTTTGCCACTTGTTCTTCATGTTTTCCTCAAACCGCGGAACAATCAGAAGAAGGTACGGTCTGGGAGGTAGTCGAAGATGACTCCGAGATTGATGACGAAGACCTCGGTGTCGTCAAAGCGGAGGATGCCTTGGTGGAGGATATGGTGTCAGTCGCAATACATCGGCTGCCATGCTTGAGTCCGTTGTCCAATGTACATGCCGACTTGTCTTTTTGGTAATTGAAGAAGCTGACCAGGCCAGTATCTTCCACCTCAATCCATGCAACTGACGAATTGTTTTTCGTGCCACAAGCCTCCACCCCGTGCACAGGGTAGCGATGGGTGCGGTCTCCGACTTCGTTCACAGCTGCGAGATTGTTAGTACTTTTTTGCTGACTCTCATGCCAGAAATCCACTTACTTGAGCATTTTTCTCCCTCAAGTTTGCCAAAGAATGCTGAAGATCCCGTGCAGCCATGGTTGTCATAGGACCATATCGCGCATTGACCATCAATATCAATGATTTCAAGGGTGCCACCGAGAGATCCGCTTGCATAGGCACTAGCGAGGATCATAATGATGGATAAACGCATTTTCCTTGTCTTCTGACGAATTATAGGAGCTTAAAATTCGAAAATATCTTGTGTGCTGCGTCTCGTGTCCTGTATTTCTTAACCGATTGATTTGGCGTTGTGTGTAGTCGAGCAAAACGAGGAAGGATAACAGAGGCTTTTATAGAATTATCCGGAGATTTCTGAGAGGCTTCAGGTTGCCTGTAGGTCGCAACTATCGAATTAAAAATGTCAATCGTCTGACCAAAGTTGAGGTGCATCGGATATTATTACTTTAGTACGGTTGCTTATTGAGGCCGACTATGCAGTCAAGAATGCATCGAACCAGTTTAGGCAAGCCAAGGCAACGTGAGCTTTACCAATATTGCTCGGCATATTATGGCTAGAACATGCGGACAACCTTCCAGAACTGATGAGCTCCTGAATCCTGAGGTAATTCCTTCAACGCCTCACCAGCTGACACCACATAGGGCCTCTGAAGACCAGCGGGTTGTAAAGTCTTATTCTTGTGGTTGTGGTTGAAGAATTGAGGGTTGGTTATACATGGTGGACTCTTGCGGCGTATGAGGCTGTTATCGACGTGAAAGTGCCGCGTCTACGATAACGCGGGGCGCGAAATGCACAACCATAGATTTCGACCTTGGTCTTTGTTCATTCTGATAGAGCTATGCTATTCATAACCGAGGACGCATGTATTCATTTATGAGGCGTATCAGGCCGCGCGTGTGGTCGGCGGTCTTGTTCCGGAAGTAGGCCCAGGCTTGGTCCCCACAACACTATGTGTTGAACGATCCAATTCATGTTTCTGAGGCACTACAGCTCGCTTCGGGTGAGTTGCCTCGGACTTTGTGTTAGCCTTCTCGTCTCTTCAACCCAACAGTCCGCTGCATACTGTATGTTGTGGCCGGCAGCCGCAATTTGCAAAAGCCATGAAACAGGTTCTGATACAACAGAAATGCCCTTCAACCTTACTTATGTACTTCAAGTAGCATCACCTACATCAATATTATGAGATAACCAACCAGCAGTAAGCAAAATGATGGAAAGGACAGGTTTCATATCATATTTCCAAAAAAAAATATGGGACATTATGTCCAATCCTCACTATATCATCCCTGAGCCTCCAGCTTGGTCATGGGCTCAAAACGCTTCCTTCTTGCGATTCTGAACTTTGGCTCCTTTGAAGCGTCTGAATACTATGCCCCCTCAAACCACCACTATCACAGATGGAGAATTCAAGCGCCTTAAAAGTATCCAGATAAACGGGCTGGATAAGAATGTTATGGATTTTCTCGAAGCAACTCACAAGTCGGTCCAATCTGAGGGCATATGTAACCCAAGGGGCCCTTTCAAGAGGTCTCTCATTCATTACGCCGCTATGGGGGACTGTACTGAGCTTCTCTTACAACTTCTGGAGATTGGCGCGCCAATAGACGATCGCGATCAAAACCAACGTACACCTCTCTCCTGGGCTGCTGAGTACGGCTCTTACAATGCGACAAAAATTTTGGTGGAAAACGGAGCCCAAGTCAATGCTCTGGATGATATGTACAGGACACCATTTTCGTGGCTGAAACACGCTGGGCATCCTGATTGTAAACGCCTCCCAGTTACAAAAGTATATCTCAAAAAGAATGGGGCAACTATGAAAGGTGCCAAACGTGCCTGGATTTTGAAGAAGCTTGGACTTCTCTGAGTGTCTAATAGGGAATATTCCAGCATCTTTCCCAGCCTATTTTTCGTCCGTAGTCCCTATCTGACTGTCGCTACTTTGGCTATTGCATGCTATTTTTTCCGAAGGCTGTGATGTTTCATTCCTAAAGGAGTCTATGCATTCTTCTCCCTTTTGTTTAGCACAGAGCTACGTCCCCGGGACAAACCTTTATCAGCGGCTGCCACGCTTTATCACATGTTCCTGTACTAGTCAAAACATCTGCTAATATCGAAATAGAAAGTTAGATTCATCCGAGTTTGTTTGAACATTGGGTTGGTAAGAATGTCTACTATACGTTTGTTGTACAATTCTTGCCTGTATGCAGCTCTTTTAATCCATCTGTACTAACATTGATGCTCAGCTAATTGCCTGAAATGGATAGCCAGAATCGTTCAACCAACGGTCATTTTGATGATTAAAAGCTCTATACTTTCAACGGATGACAGTCTTACTACCTTAGACTGCACCAGCAAGACATATAATGATACTTATATCATTCGTTTGGAAATTAATAAGAAACGCTGATTATCGTTAAACTGATTTGTCACATTCCCCATATTTTAACACCGACAATATAATATGAACGCGTCCACTGATCTGTTTGAGATAGTCGCGCGTTATCTCGCGTGTCAGAACCGCAAAGTAGGATCTAATTGAGAGCTGCATGATATTATGTATTTTGCTTTCAAAGTTGTAATACTTGCTTATTTTGGCATTAGGCTACTGCTACGACGTAGTTTTGATGAACCCATGATGGGGAGGGGCGTAAGCTAAAGGCCACCACATTTCTCAGAAATCGTAACAAGACTGGCAGTGCTAAAAGTGATAATTGTAACGTTGACTGTCTTGCATACGCGCTTTCCACAGGATCTGTTGATATGACGTTTTCTCCATTCCATGGGCGCGGCTTATTATAAATCAGCGACATTGAATTTGTAATGCGAGTATCGTTCTTGCAGGATAGGCAGGGTGAATTCCAACAAACAAACACTGGAGAAGAATGATGAGACACCCTGCTAGATCACTGTCGTTCTGCCTGAGAATCTTCTTCGAATGCTATTGATGAGCCGCGTGACAGGCGTAGGCAGAAATGAGTCCTCCTCGCCTTCATCTGCCATATTCTGCCCCAGATCATCCGTAGGTGCGCTTTCCAGAATCACTGTGTCTGCCTCGCTGTTTTCGTCGTCCTCTGGGCGCTCGTCAATTCTCGCTTCAGCTGGACTCCACTCATCCTCGCTGATCGGTTCAGGCCTTTCTGCCTCTGTTTCGAACTCCTCCCACTCTTCGTTACTTGCCTTGTTACGTTCTACCCGGCTGATCAATTGCTTCCCTGTTTCAGATTCCTCCGAGTACGCATACATCACTAGGTCTTGGATGGTCGACTCATCGAAATATTCCCCATGCGCATGGCAGATCTTTTGTGCAACTGTGAAAAGTCGCTCTGTGCCAGCACCTGTAGCCGGAATGGAGAGTAGATCTCGAGCCAGTCGAGTGAGAACAGGCCATTCGTGTTGATGGTCTTTCCAGTAAGCGCATGGCGAGATATTGACAACATCTGCTGTGTGTCAGTAGTCAACAGAAAATATAGTGAGCAGTTGTTCAGACCTTCGCGGAGATATTGATCAACTTCATCTTGTCCACTCCTTGAACTACCCGCCAGACCAGCTAGTGGATGCAGAAGCCGGTCGAGCCCCAACAACTGTGGAGAGCAAGACAGTCCATTCACACAAGACAAGCTCGTGGGCATTTGCGGCCGATACTGTAGGTGAAAGATCCTCAGATATTCGATGTGGCGCTCGGGATGGCCCAAGCCTTGCCATGACGAGGCGCCATCGAATGCGGACACTTTATATTGGGGCGCAACAAAAGTTCCAGTGCCATACATGACCCCAAAGTCTTGAAATGTCTTTTCGTAGACTTCTCCAAGTTCCATCTTCATGACAAGCGACGCCTCAAGTAGTGTCCGCTTCCATGGGGCTGATTTTCTTCTCAATATTTCAGCTGACTGGTCGATATGCGTCATTAGTATCTTGAACACGAAACAGACTTTGTGGACTGTCGCCTCTTTCGAGGCCAGGAGGGCTGTAGTGAACTGGATGAATGGCATTGTCAGCTGCACGACGTAGTCAACCTTGCGCCAGTCCGTATTCGTCAATTTGTACCGTAAATTCCCCCTTTCCTGGCAGTACTGGTCGATAAATCTTCGCAATCTGCTGGCTCGCTTCAACATCAAAAACACCGAATTCCAGCGGGCGTTTGCATCGTCCAACGGCAAGAGTCGAATCCCTGGGGGCTGAAGACACGAGAATTCATCGCGCTTCCCGGGGGTCTCGTTGACAAACTTTGCAAACGATCGAATCTGCAAGACACAAGGGTCAGAGCTGTTTCTCGTCAGGAGGATGGAGGACATTCACCTTTTCCAAAACACACATTATTTCTTCGCCATCTGAAGGTTCAGTCCAACCATTGACGTGTGATATTGCTCGCACATTCTCAACCCTTTCCCTTTCTGGGGAGCTTGTGATGTTTTCGATATACCGCCGAAGACAGAGCTGGATGGCCTGCACTGTGCCAGGAACCCCAACAAAGCACTGCAAACGGCTGATACCACCAGAGGAAATTAACTTCTCTTGTAGTGGCAGCACCAGATTCTCGTCGACCCTGTAGTCAATTGTCACGCTGAATACCCGACCAAGCAGCCCTTTGTTCCTGATCAGTGCAAGTAATTGATCACCCGGGTCAGTCCCTGTCTCGGGCCTGCGTAGTAGCTCGAATCCAAGCAGCACTTCTCGGTAGCTCCACTCTTTGTCAAAGTAATACGCAGTAGTAGCCAGAAAGTCGTGCCCGAGCGGACTTTTCCAACAGCACAAAGCAATCGAAACTTTGGAGTCCCCGGCCAGATCCTGCAGTTGTGATTCTTGGTATGTATTTGCCACATCGTGCAAATGTTGGCGGAGTTGATTTGACGAGGGAAGCTCCAAAATTTGTGGTCCGGCATAGACCAGGTTCAACAATTCCCTGAATGTGGGTTCTTCCGTGAGCCCAAATGGAAGATTTGCGGACGTAATTGTCCGCAGAAGCTGTTCTTTGAGCTGCGCCTTGGTGAATCTGCTCCTCTCGCGGGGAAAGACCGCACGGCCCTCCTGGATTGGGCCTAGGGTGACAGCAGAAACGGACACCTTCTCCTTGCTTCTGCGACAAGAGTTAGATTTCAGGTGCTTACCCATTGCGCTTGTCCCATGAGATTTGTGATTTGGGTGATGTGGGTGATTAAGCGGCGTGAGGCAAGACCGACACACTACCTTGGGTCGACCAGACCTGAGCTCTGCCACCTGATCAAACTGCCTCCACACCTCCGAGCAACGCGACTCAGTCGACCATCTGAATTTGTATTGTCCATTTTTGGTCAGCTGTTGTCCATATTCGGTCTCCAGCCACCACGATAAGAATTCGTGCTCCTGGGCGGTCTCGTAGAGCACCCAATGTCGGCGGTCGGGTGCAAACCGCGTGAGGTTGGCCGAGGGGCTTCTCGGTCGAGCTTCCAGAGCAACGATCCTTGAGTGGCCAGCGAAAGACTGTAAGTCGTTTCTTAGGTGAGAATCAATTGACTGCATCCGGGGGAAGACATACCGAAGACCGCGATACTGGAACAGAT